ACAATAAATTACATAAATTTTTTTAATGTCTATTACTTAATTTAAATTTAAAATTTTATATAAATAATATTTTCACCTAAATTTATGATTTTATTTTAGTTATATTTTGTTTAAATAAAAAAATAAATTATCAAATAAATCAAAAATCCAGGTCAAATGTTAAATCCCTTGCAATGTAAGCATGACATGGCAATAGTTTGCCATGCAAGCAACCAAGCGGGGTGTGTCCTCAACGGCAGTTAAGTTGGCGTAAGAAGAAGGGCTTAATTGCTTTGATCCCAGAGTTCAAGGGTTTATATGCATCAATTAAAGTCTAGGGGCTTAATAGCGATTCTGGGGTTAGTTCAGGGGCTTAACTTATGGTTTTGCCTTGAAAAATTGTGATTTATAAGAATTATCTGTCACTATAGCGGTAAATTAAACAAACTAACAAGGTCCGGCTTTATCTTGCTTCTTGATTTGTTTTGGTTAATCCTCCTACTTTTTAATTAATCTTTAGATCATTATAAAATTAGAATTACTAAAATAACTTTAAAATGCCCAATAACAATTCTTACATTAAAATCCAAACTAAAAATTTACAATTAAAAATCTTTAAATCCAAACTAAAAAGCTTACTATTTTTGTTTTTAGTTATATAATGGAAAGCAACTATCTCTCATTTTTACTTTATCCCATTCATATACTATATAACTTGAATTTAAAATTTTTTATTTCTAATGAAAAGATCTACCAAAAAAAAAAAAAAAACAGGAAAGAGATTACCACTAAAGAAATGTACCTTAAACTTCAAGCTCAAAATTTAAGCTTAATTGAATTATTAGTCTATCAATTATTAATCTATTAACTATTAGTTTAACTTCACTTTAGTTCAGAAAGTTAATTTTCTTTTTAAATAGTCTATAAACTTTGTAAAATATTTTAAAATAATTTATTGTACAAAATTTTCATTAGTTTTTATAGAAAAATAATACAAATGTTAAATCAAAATTAAAACTAAGTAATCCCAACCAGTAAAGTAGTCCACAATAAACGGTATAAATTATTGGTTAAACACTCATTTTGGTCCCTCAACTATAGTATGAACCCTCAATTTAGTCCCTCAACTCAAAAAATCCCTAATTTGGTCCTTACTGTTTACCATTTTTACCCTGATTTGGTTTTTCCGTTAATTTTTTCACATTCATTGACGAAAGAAGACAGAAGAAGCATTACGTGTCACACCAAAATTGACAAGTTGGCAACAATAGATGATATGGCTATTCCAACTCTTCCCACCCAAAAAAAAAAAAAAAATCCATTTTCTTAGCTTTTTTTTTTTTTTCCCATTCCTCTCTTTTGTCTTTCCCTTTCTCTTTCCTCTTCCCTTTCTTCAACTTCTACAAACCCTAACATCTCAACAAATCTCTAACATCTCAACCAATCTATTCATCTCAACCAATTTCTACCCTTGTTGGGTTCTTCATCATCATCAAACAACAAAACCCACAAAAAAACAGAAATTCTTTTAAAATTTTTTTACCCCTAGATTCTTTCGAACCAAGCGCATTGGGTTCAAAGAAACCCAGCACACACCCTTTCTTTCGCCTTCCTTTTCCTTGCCTTCTTCATCAATCAATTCTTCATCTTCATCAATAAATTTTTAATCATCATCAAACAATAAAACCCACAAAAAAAAAGAATTTTTTTTTTAATTTTTGCCATTGGGACCCAAGACTTGGGTTCCAAGGAACGCAAGCTTGGGTCCCAAGGAACCCAGCTCTTGGGTTCAATGGAACCTAGGTGTGCTGGGTTCCAAGGGAAAAGAGAAAGGAAAAGAAAAGGAAAAAGAAAAAAAAAATTTAAGTTTTATTTTTTATATTAATATTTTTTTATATTATTTTTTTTTTTCATGTCATCATTTTTTTGTCATATTGTCTTCCACATGTATTAATATTTGACATGTCATCATGTAACTGTGAATTAAAAGGTTTCGGTTCAACACACTATACTACATACTTCGATTCAACTATTAAAATTTGTCTTTAGAAATTTTCCCGCCATGAATTTAAATTTGAAAATAATAATTTTTTAATGAGTGTGCTATAAGGTATGTTGTATATTGTGTTGAACCAGAATTTGTACTAAACCAGAATTTGTACTAAGTATTTTCTAAATTATTAAAGTATGTCAATAATTGTAATTTCTACTACAAAGGAAAATTGTTAAAAGAGAGAGTTGAAATAACATTTGATAAATGTTATAATCTCTCAAATAGTAAAAAGGAATTTATTATTCTCATAAAATTAAATTTAGCTCAAAATTAATTTTAAAGAGTAAAAATTTATAAAAAAATATAATTGAAGATCAATTTGATTAAATGGAATGAAACTGCTGTTAAAAAATTAATAGATTAGACTAAATTGAAATAAAAACAAAAAACAATAAATGAATCTAAACATATTTAAAAATAATAAATGAAACAAAAAATATAAAAACTACTAGACTATTTATTAAATTAAACCTAAAATTTATACCTCAACTCAACTGCGCGGACCATTAATTAAGCCTACTTCTAAGCCTAAAATTAAAAAAAGTATACTTTAAAGCCAAAGGTCAACGTGAAAAATTAAATGGTCCAATATTACTATTTAAAAGCCTACTACTAAACCCACCATATTATTATTGTTTTGCCCAATATTTGAAAATTTAATTGGGCCAATTCAAACGTGAAACTCAAAAAAATATTTCTTACCCCAATACCAATGAACTTTTCCTTTAAAATTTAAATGGCCGAATATTATCATTTTAAAGCCTACTGGCTACTGCTTCTTGAATTGTTTGGTCAATTATCCTGCTTCTTGATATAACCCTTAAAGCCAAGACAAATATTCAAATCTCGTGCTAGTTTTGAAGTTATCCTGCAAGTGACAAATATTTTTATCAAGATATTATATAGACAAAACTTAGAAGAAGAAGTGGATAGAGGGAGGGTAACTGGATTAGGGATTTGAGATTTTCTTGGTGGGTACTTTCGTAATTTCATTAATATCGAATTTTTATTTTTAACATTTTGGCATGTTTTGGTTTAGTGATATGACCAACAAATTTTGGTCTAATTACATTAAATAAAATAAGAAACTGGTCTGTCAGACCGAAGGAAATGAATGACTCTCAATTGGGACTGATTGTTGGTGGCATCTGTTTGCTAGTTGGTGGCGGGTGGATTTGGCCATTTCTGTTAAGTTCAGCTTAACATGTAGGAGGCATTTTGATCTTCCTAATACCTAGAAACAAGGTGCTCAGCGAGCAACAACAATTCCCATCCACATTCACCCCAGACATCTGGATGGACGGAGTAACATGTCCCAGTGGCTGGAAGGCCCTTGATCGGCGCAAGCAGAATACCAAAGTATGTACTCTTACAAGTTTGTATTGGAAACATTTTCATATGATAAACAAGGTGAGATTTATCAATTGTTAATTCTCTCTCTTTTGGCGAACAGTTACTGAATTTATTTAATTACGCCATTAATGATGTTCTTTTCATGACTTTCTTATTTACAAAGCTCAAATCACCAGTATGTGCAGGACAGTTGCTGTTAAAGTTCTTGAAACAAATGCTAGGAAAGGAGCAATGGAATTCTTAACAGAGGTAATGCTTAATGGTGAGTTATATAGTCTGATAAACTCATAAAAAACAACTAAAGCAATGTCTAGTGAATAGGAGAATGGGAGTCCGGTAGAGATGGATTCAGCAAGAAAAACATTCCCATTATTGTAACTGCATTTATTTTCACATGGTATGGAACTTCATTCCGAGGCAGGAGAAACAGTTGCCAGAGGAGGCCGCAGACTCTTCTGCCGTTCTGCGTCAGTCCAGTAACTATTATGATTGTTACTTTAGTACTGTGTCACTGCCTGAACTACAGTTCCCACAGGAAGTTCTTAATTGCCTGTTTCTTGACTTTAATTTTCTTTTCCATCTTCCCTTTTAAATTTTATTGTTTCACTTGGTGTATGACTGTAATCAATCGATAATAGTCATTGTCTTTCAACTTTAGACCATTAAGTTTCCAAACTGGAAAACTGGGTTGTATTTAGTTGTTTTGATGTCATGGGAATCAGTTCATATATCAACTAATGTTTCTTTTCCTTCTAATTTAAGGTCTCTGAGTTCCTGACTGAGATATCTGATGGATCCTAGCACGTTGAAACCAAGACCAAGCTTGATTTTGATTCTTTGTAATAAGGTCCCAAACTTTCATCAAATTTATAATCGAGGTCCCAAAATTCTGTTACACTCAAATAAGATCCCTAAGTCAGCAAAATTCTCAAATAAATTCTGTTAAACCGTTATGTTCATTAATTACTCATTAATTTTGTCAACTCTAATTTTATTAAATATCAAAAATGGTCCCCAATTTTTCTATTTTTTTCTTTCAGTAACATATATTAAAACTTTTAATAACCTCAAAATATTCCTTAAATTTATTTTTTTTGCTGATGTGACAATCTTTTAGGACCAACAATTAAAAATTAATTTTAATTAATTTAAATAATTAAATAATTTACTAATTAACTCATTAATCATTAAGGAAAATTTTAATTT